ATTTTAACCCAGGTGTCGTCAACATATCTGAACCAATGGCTCGGTGGCACCCCTGAAAAGGACATCAAGGCTTTCAAGGGACATCTGTGGCCCAAAGTTAAAAACTGTTGTTCTTTTGAGGCCCTCAAGGTGGCGCTGTGGCCCACAGGTTAATATCTCTGTTCTGGAACACTTAAGAAAACGGATCCGGACCACAGACAGACCTGTTCTGAGTCACGTCTCAGGTGTTTGTCAACACTTCAGGTTTAATGAACCAAGTCTTTACCACAGGTCAGCTGCTGCTCCTGCAGCCTGTGGAACTCCAGGCCGTGCAGGTGGGCCGGGTGGGCGCAGACGGTCTGGTTTCCGATCCTCACAGAGTTGTGCTGAGCCCAGAGCAGCAGCCAGCTCAGCTGACAGTCACAGAACAACGAGTCTGAGGCGAAGTGTCTGCAGAGCAGAGCAGAGTTAGCTTCGGCTGTTTCAGCTCATCCTCACAGCTGAACAACACTGAACATCCTGATCTTTTACAGCTTCTTATTGACTTTATTTCCTCTTAAAGACTTTCTGATCGTCTGACTCCTGCAGCCAAGTTTCAGTTGGGTTTAAACAGAATAAACTCAGGTTTAAAATCAACTAAACTTACAGAACTTTGAGAGCCAACAGGTGTGTGAAGAGTCTGTCTGTCAGAGAGGAGAAGATGTTTCCTGATAAATTCCTGTAGAGACACAAACACAAACACACACACACACACACACACACACACAAACACAAACACAAACACAAACTGGTCATGTTTTCCTGCTGCTGCATATAGTGGAGTTAAATGAAGAAACAACTCATTTTACTTCATATGTTACAGCCTTTACTTCTCTGTTAAGAAGTGTTGTAGAACTGTGGGCTCAGGTGGGATAGCTCCGCCCCCAACCCACCTGCACTCTCAAAATGAGATTCTGAGCTTCAAATCAGCTAAAGAAACCAATAAATTGTATTTTTTACTTTGTGGTGATTCATTAAAAACTGAAAYAAATACCCAACCTGAACTCAGTACGACTGCAGAAGTTCATATTTTAATGGATTTTTCTTTTTCAACAAATCGTTCTCTAACAACCTTTTTTCTTTGAAACTCTTGATCATTTCTTCTATTTTACTGTTTGTTCCAGGACTTGTTCAAACAAGCTGAAGACCAGGAGGAACTCACATTTATGTTTAAATAAAAACAGCTTCACTGTTTTAGTTTGCAGCACAGACTGAAACTGGGGGTTGTATTTCTGAAACACTGCATCTCAAACCCACTAAATCTGTTCATTTTTCACTTTAAACACATTGGGCCTCATGCAAGAACCGTTCGTACACAGATTTGTTCTTAAGTTGTGCGTACGAGTGATTTAGGA